AAAAAAAAGCAACGATGATTTTTTTTTTTTTAAAGAAGAAGGGGAAAAAAAACAAAAAACAAGGCATATGTGTTCTGAAAAGGGAAAAAAAAAAAAAAGGGGAAATAAAAGCAGTTCAAGTGTTATATTTGAAATTTTGAATACCGCAATTTGTTCATTCGGAAATCTGAATAGAAAACACTTGCAACACATATGCACTCTACATCAAAGTGCCCTTTTTTTCTTCTTCTTCTTTTTTCTTTTTTGATAAGCACTCTAAATCAAAGTGCCCTTATTTTTTCTTTTTTCTTTTTTCTTTTTTCTTTTCTCTTTTCTCTTTTTTGAAGTGCCTTTCTATTCGGGAAAAATTCGGACCAGCTTTTCAAAAATCGTTTGTTTTGCAATCAGACTCGTCTCATTCACACTTTTCATGCATGCGCAGCAAACTGGCCACATGTGCCCACTCAAATCTCAGAGACATGCCTTCCAGATAAGAGTTCACTTTCAACTGGCTATGGCGACTCGGCGCCCAAACAACTCACTGTTCACATACACTGGATCACCCTGGATATCCCACATGCGTCACTCTGAACACTCACACATACACACACACACACTTCACACTAAACTACAGCTATGGCAGCTATGGCAGCTATGGCTGCCTCTACCCTATCGCTATGCTACGCTCCTTCTCTCTCGCCCACTTCAGCTCCGGGCTCTCTGCAGACCTCCTTGCACAAGTCGCTGTGGCAGCGCTTCCGCATGGCTCACGCAGGAATGAATGAAAGGCTTGGCGCTGCCTCTTGATTTATACTTCGGAAACTCGTTGGTCTGCCCTTTGCCATCGGCCCATGGTGCTCACAGTCCCCCGTGGTACTTGCTGGACCGGACTGGGACTGACTGGACCTTACCGCTGACTGACTGTGGACTCGCTGTCAACCTACCGTAGTCGTACTGTGTTTGCACTGCCGTATAGTCCACCACTTGACTCGCCACTTGACCACTTGCCCACAAGGACTACAGCTAGACTTCTGGAACTCGCTAAGACTTCTACTCTACAGATCTACAGATCGAACCCCTGCTACCTACGGACCTGTAACAGACCTACCAACTGTCTACGAATACACAGATCACAGGTTCAACTCTCGGGGTTTACACAGATACTGTACATGGGTAGGACGAGGTCTAGGGATCGAACCCTGGGCGTTTACACAGATACTGTACATGGGTAGGACGAGGTCTAGGGATCGAACCCTGGGTGTTTACACAGATACTGTACATGGGTAGGATGAGGTCTAGGGATCGAACCCTGGGTACTGCATCTGCTACTGCTAAAAGGTGAAAACCGTTTCACTCCCGCCGTCCTAAATTCAAGGTCCTCCCAGAATGCTTCAGTCCAAGGCAGGACCTTTACCCTTCTTATCACGCTCATAGGCTCTGACTATGTCGGGAGCTGTTTCTAGAAGTTCTGTTCTTGTGAACCAGCGGTCCTCTTCCGGTTCCTGATAAGCAAACCGGACCTTATACTGTTTCTGTGGACGACCTCTACCTCCTGTTCTGAAGACATCTTCGTCTACAATGCCGTCCATTGTGCCCTTGAGTGCCCTTGCACTCCTCCACTGTCGTGAGTGGATCGTCTGTAACTTATCAGAGGCGCGAACACCTCTCGTTGGGTCAGCGAACCGCTCCTTCAGGAGCTTAAAGAACTGAGGAAGGGGGGTAACTTTGGAGTAAGCAACCAAGTTGTTCTCACAACCGGCTGCGCGCGCAAGGAACCTAGCGAAACTGGCCGCTTCATCTTTGAGGGCCTGGAAAGCGACGAGGACTTGCTCCTCAATCAGGATGTGTTGTAGATATATATAACTATTGACACTGGCCTCCCAGTTGTCAAAGTTCTCCTCCTTCTTTCCCCCGTAGGCGTCTGGGAACTTGAGCTTGACAGGCTCTTTACGGGGCCTGACCTCGCCCTCTACAGCGGCTATGGCTTTGGCACCCTCAATGGCGCCCTCACAAAACTTCCCTACGTTGTCCCTCAATTGCCTGACTTCGCCCCCAATGTGGGTGACGATCTCGCGCGCAAAGTCTCTGAATCCCGACCGCATGGCACTCAGAGCTACGTCTTGGCTCCAACTGACTTGGCGCTCCTCCATCCATGCTTTACTCAGCACCTCTAGGTAGCCCAGTACCTTGTCCCACTTGGCCTTATCATCTGGCTGGGCCAACACTTCCTTCCTACACTCCTGCACCTTTGCCACCTCTGCGGTCAGTTTGTTCACTTCCTCTCTCCTCCTCTTCTTCTCCCTCTTCATCCTTAACTTCCACGCCAACTTCTGCTCCTCCTCCCTTTCTCACCGTTCCATAGGATCTTTCATTGCTGCTAGCTCACTGGCTAGCACATCCCTCTCCTCCTGAGTCACATAGGACTCTGCCTCCTCATCTTCTCCCAACGATAAATTAGCAACCCACTCACTTATTCTCCTCTCCATCTCTGCGTCCGTATCCCTCTTCGTGCCACTACTCCCCTCTCTACTCTCGATACGCATTCTCTCTTTTTCTTCTTCTGCTGCCGCTTCTTCTTCAACAACCTTTTTCTTTTTCTCCATCTCCTCCTCCAATTCCTTCATCTTGGCCGCCTGCTCCTCTGCGATAGCCTTTAACTTCGCCTGCTTCTCGCGCTCTTTGCTCTCCTTGTTTTCTCTCACTAAGGCGACCATCTTCTCTTGCTGCTCCTTGGTGTAGGGGCTAGTGTCTATCCCACTACAGGTCTCAACCATGGTGATAAGTGTACAACCGGATTAGTGGTTCCAAACCTCACCACGTAGACTCTGACCCCTGACTGACAAACCTATTGACTTGATCTAAGGACTTACAGAATCCTGACAGGGATCCCGTCCACTATGGTCTCTAGCCTAGACCTACACTGTGGCTGTCACTACTAGACCTGTTGCTGATCAGGAGGCATTTAAGGAGATCCCCTGAACTCCTCAGGAATTATTTAACGTCGCCGACAGGACGACCCGATCAGCAGGTCTCTCAAGACTTAGACGGTCTGTTGTGCAGCCCACAGCTCGAATTTCGAGGCCTGCCGTCCCACACCGAGCAGCCCGCCGGTCAGTACCGGTCCTTGGGAGGGTTTGACCTCCGGGACAGTCGAGTCGTCTGATACAGCTTTTAGCCCTACTCATCCCGTGTGGGTTTGGTCAACAAGACCCTATCCTTCATCCACCGAGTACTATCACCTAGGACAGAAGAGACTCGATGCAGAAAGAATAAACAGACAGATTGGACTCAGCAAGTACCAAGGGGTGTGTGCACATCCATAGGGCGAGGGATAGGCTGAAGGCTGAAGGCTTGGCGAGATGTTACCGGCTCCAGCTTGGTCAACGCCTTGGTCAACGCCGGTCAATGCTGCTATCAGCCCCCGGTCAACTTCGGTAACCGCCGGTCAACAACTCTGGTCAACCCTCTCGGTCAACCCTCCGGTCAGCTATGGCTGCCGGCTCTTCTTCCTCGCCAACCCTCTCCTTCCTTTCACCTTCCTCACCTCCTTTCACCCTGGCTGTCTTCTTCTTCTTTTTCTCTTTTTTTTCTTTTTCTTTTTTTTGATCGGCCCTCCCTTCACCTCTCGGCTATGGCCTCCTTCTCTCCCTTCTCGGTCTCTCCCCCTCTGTCCGGTCTTTCTCCCTCCTTCGTTACTCCGTGATGATGCTCCGCGGCTATGGCCGCTTCTTCTTCCTCCACATGGGACTGCACAGTCCGCTTCACAGATATGTGAC